ACGTCAGCTTTTGTAATCGTTACGGTGGCCAATTTACCATTTCAACTTTGTTGATATATCCAAATTATTTCGTTCCCCCCACCGACGCAGCCCCAAATAGTTTCTTTCGAAACTATCAGCCTTTATTCTTTAAAGTACGATCAACATCACAGCAAACGTCGCTGACGCTGATATTGAGGTCTTTGGTAAACAAAGTACGGCTAATGTGTGCCCTTGCTCCTGTCCACTGCTAGCCTTCTGGTGAGCCAATGCATGTCCACCCCAAAAGCCCTAGGCGAGCAACTGGGTCCCCTTCCTCACCACGCACATCTGCTCTGGAATAATGCAACTCCGCATTATGCACTCCTATCAACAAATCCACAAGGCCTTCTTGGGCCGGCTCAGCAAAGTCACATTCCCCAAGGTGTGGCCATCTATCCTTATTTTGTTCCTAGTTCTCTACCTTGTAGTTTCCAGTTACCCTTTTAGGGCAAGTCTTTACTTTAATGTCTTTACTAAACTCCCCATCAAGGCTCTCAATCGTCACGTCCAATGGCATTGACTGGAATGTTTCCACCTCATAGTTCAAAACATTAACTGTAACTGTGTGGTATCTTTCCTTGAGGCCAAGAACTCCTGCGACCTCTTCATTAATAAAGGTCTCGTTTGAACCATCATCCAGAAGCGCATTCACCTTCACCTTGCGGTCATTTGCTTTTAACCACACTGGCACGGTACGAAGAGAAATTGTCTCAGTTGCTGTCTCCTGCCTGGAGGTTGATGTGTGTGTATGAGCTGGTGCCCCCTCCCATGAAGACATCACTTCCCATCCTTTGTGTTACCCTGTGCAGGACCGTGCAATAAGTGATGATGATTTATTTTACAACCATTAATGTTACAAGGTCTAGCCTTAGTACAAGCTCTTCCTTCATGATCACTTGCCAGGCAACGAAAACAAAGTCGTTTATCCCTTGTGACATTCCAACGTTCGATCACTCCCATGTTCTGAAAACGTCTACAGCTACACACTCCATGGTTTCCACCACAGTACACATCTGGTGGTTTGCTTGTAGGCACTGCTGGTTCCTTACCGAAGTGATTGCCTTCACTGAACAAATTCCTGATGCGACCACCTTTATCAACCCGTTTGCTACTGTCCAGAGCAGCCCCAACAGTTTCAGCTTCGATTCCATGTGCCATCTCCACTGCCTCAACTCGGATCCTCACTTCCTACTTCAACCAATCCCTCAAGCTTAACACAGACCTGTCTTTTTTATGTTCCCTAAGCCAATGACTGTAGCTTACTACCTGACTGTCCGCAAATTTTCTCACCAACAAAGTATGTAGTGCACCATCCTCCAACTCTCCACCACGCCCTTCTGCTTGCAACTTCACAACAGCTATGCGAACAAGGTCAGCAAATCGTTCGAATGACTGGACATCATTGCTCTTCAAAGGAGGCATCTTTTCGATCTGGTCCATATCTGCCTGTAACCTTCTTCGCTCACCACCAAATTTAGACTGAATAATTTCCTTAGCTTCCTTGTACTCTGGGTATGAAACTTTTAAGTCCCTGATGGCCTCAAGAGCAGTTCCTGTGAGGCTCTGTCTCAATATAGCCATTTTAATATTTGTTCGCTCCACCCCTTAGTCGACAAGACTAAAAAACATCTCCTGGAAATCCTCGTCGTAAACTTTATATTTCGTGCATAATTTATTTATTTACAGTGTACTGGAGTGGAGCATTACATGTTAGGACTCTATCGCATGCGACAAGCTTACGCCATGATTACAACTCGAATCGCGTAGTGTGAATCAACCTATGTGAATCAGCATGTAAATCAACATCCTTCCGACAGACGTGACGAGGTACCGACATTTACTAACTCACCCCCTGCTAATCTGTCTGTGTTTTCCCTTGTAGGCTCCCGTGGGGAACTAAAATGTCATCATTGAAAATTTGCAAACTAGAGCCGAATCTAAGTTCGCGCCACCGAACAGAAAAATCTCAAAGGACAGATAACAAAAGCTTCATTGTCTTAAAAAATCCTAACCAAATCAATAGGCAACGTTTGATACGTCTTCGGTCTTTCCGATCATTTCAACTTGCCGCTCGCATGCTAATCGGAAATTTCGAAAGTCCTGCGCGTATGATTTTCAACGCGTTGCCGGTTTTGTTCCAAGAACAAAGCCTTTTGTTATCAAAGTTATCTGCTTTTCTTGATACGTTACCTTTCTGGTCCCATGCCATAAGTACAAAAGGCCCAAAAAAATACTGAATTTTCATTCGAGCTTTAGAGCAACTGCATACAACAAGAAGGGAAAGGACTATAAAAAGGTATGTTCACTTTATTTTTAATGATGTATATCAAGACAAGATAACTAATATAAACTGACAACTCTTTGCAAATTTCATATTGAAAAGGAAAGGCATTATTAGCATGTTGACATTGTACAAACATTTACGAAACCATTTTCCTAAGGAAAGACATTATTCCTGAGTAGCATTAACTTTCTACACACATTTACAAAACTAGTGTCGGCTTTCCGGTTGGTAAATCTTAGTATATGATACATAAGGTAGATATGATCAGTTTTTAACAATTATAAAATGTATGGTTACATTGTTACTAGGTGCTCCAAAAGCTAATCCAACTGATACCCGAGCTCGCCGTCAGGCAAGTAACCGTGGACTTTGAGAAGGCGCTGTGGTCGGCACTCCCAGCAGTCCTACCGACAGTTGCAATCCAAGGATGCGTTTTCCACTGGACACAAGCCTTCTGAAGGAAGGTGTGTATTGCGTTTTACTAGTTGGCTAAAACAGCCACGAAAGTAAATTCATTAGTGAACATTAAACGACTAAACTGAGATATCAAGCAACGACTAAACTGAGATATAAACTTTAATAATGATAGAACTTAAAGGGAGAGACAAGACGATTACTTTCTGATATCATCTGATACTGTAGCAACTGATAAAGCATTATCTTTTATACCTTTTATATTTTTTTACTTTATGGTACAAGAGCATGGCCTTCAGACGGCTTACTCTGGTGACGATGCAGTGTACAAGTATATCAGAAAGATAATGGCCCTACCATTCCTTCCGTATGGAGAGATCCTGCTGATGTTCGTCCGCATTGAGGCCCAGGCCCAAAGACAGCAGCTGAGAAGTCTCATTGACTACGTCAGGCGACAGTGGATCGAAAGCCAGGTGTTTACTCCAAGAAACTGGTGCTTCTACAAACAGCCAATCCGGACCAATAATGATCTTGAAGGCACAACGCACTCAATCGCCGAGCGGGGAGACGATGCGGCTTGCAGTTGTAGTCATTAATCGAGTTGCTTGATAGGGAGGCAAAACTTACAGCCGTGACAATCAGGCTTGTATCAGGCAATAAACTTAAAAGAATTCAACGAAGTGTCACAAGGAATATCCAGGCTAAGCTATTTGCAAGCTGGAAAAAGTACGAGAACAACGAAAAGACTGCCTCCCAACTACTCAAGACTTGTTCTCCGCTTAACGGACCAGCTCGTGCGAACTAAAACTTCTCTGTAAATATGATAACTTGGTTTCAGAAAAGTATTTCATAGGTTTTTTTGTCCTTGTAAATATTTCATACTATATATTGTAATGAAATTGCTGTTACTATTTACTTCACATTCCATTTTATTTATTACTCGATTATAAGGCTGGAAAAGTTGAAGATAGAATGTTAATTTACATCGTAATACATTAATGAATTGGTGCGGTAGTTGCAACAACTGTCAAACGTGCAAATTGATCTATCAAAATGTGCAAATTGAAGTCAGTCAAGCGAAACTAGCAGCGACTCAAGGATCAGGATTGCATTCTAAAGATCAATAAGCAACTTTTTTTTTTTTCTCGTTAGTCTTGGATATCTGACGTTGGCGAATTGACCAGTAGGACGTTGGCGAATCAACCTAACACGTTAGCGAACGAGGCGTTGGCGAAACACCTCGTTGGCGAAACGACCGCATTACCTCATGAAGGTTTACGTCTTGATCGTAACCACATTTCGTTTTGTCCGAGTAGACTGAGGATACCTGAAACATTTTTTTGTATGTTTTCTAAGTAGGTAGCCAATGATGATGTAGGGGTAATGATTCTGATTGTTTGTGACCCCGTCTCACAAACATATTGTGTGACCTTCAGTAGCTAAGCCCGTGGGCTGTGCATGGCTGCTTGAAGATGACCTACTTGCTGTCGTAAACTGACCATCTCCTGATATCACCGTGACCTCTCCAGTTGGAGTCAGTTGCTCTACTTGATTACATTTTCTGTCTGTGAAGATCACATTATGTCCACTGAAGGTTATGCCATGCGCCACGCCACATTTATCATTCGCTATCAATTTCTGCGGTGCAGTTCCACCTAAAGCGATTCAAGGTCATACAAGACCACGAGGCAACAGGTCAGCGGGGGTCGTTGACGGCGCTGATAACAATGGTCATCAATCAATCGGACTGAATAATTTACTAATCATGATCAATCATGAACATTCACGCACCCAGACGACCTTTTTAGATCCTTTTCTAACCTTTTCATTTTTTTTTTATCAAGTGCACGAATTTCCACATTTCAGGTTTGAATGGGGATCAAATAACTGATAATTTTCATATTTAATTCTTTTAGGTCTGACTGACTGATATCTTGTCTGAACGCAATAATTTCTAAATCGTTGCTTCAATCTCTGAGATCTTCGTTTCATCAATAGCGATCGTCGCGTCTTCGATTTCGTCGGAAATACCCATATAGAGAGGCTCAATAATCCAACACAGAATCTAATACAATTACCATGCGAAGCGATGACAGCGAATAACAAAATCCAAATACGATGTGAACCACAAACTTTGAGCACGATGTTATCCGCTTACTCAATCCAGACAAATCCTTCGTTCAATTCCAACAGCGCATCCAAGATTGCAAAATCCCCTGCACACACCAAGCTAAATGATGCGAAAAGCCCGCGTAAAACCAAACACGATGCGAAGCGATGCGAATAACAAACCTTGACCACAATAAATTCCACTAGCTCATGCTGTCCTGGCAGGGTCGCCAAAAATTGTTGAGAACGACTCAATAAATCCGTGGTTAAACTCAACATTTTACTTTATTTGGACTAAGAAATCTCCATGGGGAATACTTGATCTCCACAAGGCAAAAACTCGAACTAAGTAAAAGTACTTGACATTTGATCCCTGTCACTTATTTTAAAAATGCCATGCATGTAACGCAACGTCACGTTCTCCTGAACAGATTGAAACAGAACAATCACGACTGACTTACACCACACGAATATTACAGCCATTAACATCACAGCAAAACTGCAATCAGTTTGTATGAACTACCAACACTATATTGTACCCACAACGGTCCTTCTCAGGACTACACTTACCCAGACAAACCGAATACACTATCACTTGTAAGTGATAGTACTTGTAAATACCAAATGAAACTTACCAATTTTGGGTTTCCTGCCAGGTACCCAACTAAGGTTTTTCTTAATTCTTCATGTTTAATTGGAATTCCTGTAACAATTTCCAGTTGTTCTGCTAAAGCATGGAACAGACAATTTCCTCCTCTATCATTATCAGACACTGTAAAGCCCATTTCCGAGGCAGCATTCTTTAACTCCTCAAGACCTCCCTTATTCTTGCCACTGATTATACTCTTCAACTGTGTAAGATTATTTGTGGTTTGTCCAATAGCGCCTAAAAGAAAAAAAACACTTACATGTAAATGATGGTTAAAAAAGAAAACCTATTGCAATATTACTTGGTATGTATACCTCAAGAATAAGCCAGGAAAATTCACCACAAGAAATGAAAGTTTTAACATACTTCAAGAGTGACAAAAATTATTACAGCCTCAGGAATCAAGCCACATATTGATGAACAAGAACCCCTTCCAGTATAATCCTGCTCCATATAGGTNAAATAACTTAAAACCAAATTTGGGCTAGGAGCGGTTAATTAAACAGGAATTACCTAAGGGAAATCGGCAATTAAACAGGAATTACATAAGGGAAATCAGCAGTTAAAGGAATGATACAATTAACACATTACTAACACAATTAACACATTACTGACAAATCGCTAAAATTCCATAAAATAAAATAAACAGAACAAACATGTTTTAAGTAGGAAATAAGCCTAAGTGACTCTGTCACATGTGTACCTCAAGAATAAGCCAGGAAAATTCACCACAAGAAATGAAAGTTTTAACATACTTCAAGAGTGACAAAAATTATTACAGCCTCAGGAATCAAGCCACATATTGATGAACAAGAACCCCTTCCAGTATAATCCTGCTCCATATAGGTAGTCTTTTTTAGAATTACCTGATAAATATACATGCATATCCATGACTACACAAAAAGGACTGACAATCAAAAATAAGGAAGCTGTTTAAGAGGATTCAATTTGCACCATTAATTATACAACAAAAATCCATCTTAACAGCTTTTTCCTTGAAAAATGTAACTGCATGGTAACCCATGCAATTCAGTCTCAAACAGACTAGGAAATTTCACACTTCATCAGATGGCCTGGTAGCAAAAAACTGTCTCCAGAAAGATAACTAGTTTGTTAAAAGCTGCACTATTCAGCTTAAATTTATTTGCTGGCCTTAACTGGACTTGTTACAAATATTAAATTGTAAATGCAATAAAATTTTGTTGATTTCTTTAAATAAAAGGCAGTCTGTGACTACATTTGCCTATTGTTGTGTAGTTGTAGAGTATTGCAGTAAAAAATGCAATGTGGTGTAAAATGTACAGTGGTTAATGAGCTGCTCTTGTTGATGCTAAACTTGAGACAAAAGGAGGACTTGCACACTATGAAATCAAACCCATGAAAATCTTGTGAATTTATTCATGGTAAATTCACAGATTTTCATGGTTAAATCAATGGCTTTTTCATGGTCTCAGTGCCATGAAAAAGACATGAAGACAAAGGGTGACCTCTTACTTTTCCCAGTAGACTCAAAAGTAGAGACTGTTTCAGTACTGGAGGATGACTTCTCACGACCTATGTAAAATACATAATATTAATAAGGAAATATGCCTTAAAAATCCATTTATAACATATAGTAGATATCTGTTATTTTGCCTCACAATAACAAATTAAGTTGAGAAGAAAAAAACACTGGTTAAAACAAAAAACAATCTAACAGAGTATTAAAAAGGCAAGGTAATAAATGTTTATAATAGCACCCAAGAATGAAGTATGTAGAAAGTTTCTCCAAGAACAAACGTTTTTCCAGCCTATCATCTCCAGAGTTTTAACCCCCTGTTTTTGAATATCAATGGGGAGCTAATTACAAGTAGCTCATCAGATGGTTAATATAAGCAAACAAATACTGGTGACAATCTGTTAAAAAGTAAATTTACCAGTCACAAATTTTCTCAATCCTTCCTCCTGATTCTTACGGGCAGTTTGATCTGATGTAGGTACTGGAGCTGCAAACAAATATTCAGTCGAGAGAAGTTCACATCTACCTTGGTTCTCGGACTAGTTAAACCAGTGTTCTTTATTTTAACTAGGTCCAGCTGAGAGTGATAATTAATTGCGAGGTTAAGAGTGTAAATGGTTTTACTGTATGTTTGAGTGTCAATTCCGAACAAATAATCTTGTTTGCTATTAAAGGTTTAAAATTTATGTTGATCAAATTACTTACTTCCTTTTACTGTAATCAAAAGCTTCAATCTCCTTTTTAAACAACTCCAAGGTAGTATTATTACTCACTTCTTCTTCATTCAAGAAACGGTTGCATACAATGACCATCCATTACTCTTTTGGAATACACATACCTGACATTATGTAATTATTATAACTTTCAAAATAAAGTGCTGCTAAAGGGTAAACCTTAGAAAGTAACTTTTATTTAACATTCCTTAATTAACCCTACACCTCTCTGTTTAGAGCTCACAAACTCCCTTACGATTAGATTTCCTTTCAATGATTGCATTTGTCAGCTTTTCAAGATTCTCGTTACTTGGTCCAATGGGACCTAAAAGGAAACAAACATTTATCCAGTAGTTGCATTCCATTTCTCAAACTCATACACTTGTTTGTTATTTGTAGTCTGACTAAGTGATGGTTCTATTCAAAATCATGGCATTCACTTTACAAGCATGCACTGTAGCATTGCAAAGTGTCACCATAAACCACTGCTTATAAGCCATGGACTTATACAACTTTGTAAGGGGGTTGTAGAGGGGCTTATAAATAAAGAGGGTTTATAACTGGAATAGTAAAAGTGAAATAATTTTTCATTTGAAGTACCTAGTTCCTAATTCTCAAAAGAGAAATGACTAAGAGGGTGCCAAATTCTAGGGGAAAGGCTTAATCGCATGTATTTTTTGTGTACAGGTTGATTGATTGGTCTATAATTCAGGGGAAGGGGACTCATAAGTGGGGGCTTATAAGCAGCAGTCAATGATATAGGATATACACACCACCACAATACCATTAAAAATAGCTAGGAAGATTTGATTATACTATTACTTCTGTCAGCTACTTGGTAAAAATAAAAAATAGATTGAGTCTTTAATGAAAAAATGACATCAATTAAAAATTACATACCAGTGGCATCTGGGGTTGCTAGAGCATAGCCACTGTCTTCGTACTCCTTAACTTTGATTTCACTAGTCCCACCTTCACTAGGATCATTTTCTTTCTTATCTGTTCCACACAGAATCATCATTAAATACAATATACAATGTAATGCCCATATTTAGATGAAAAAAAATTGACAATCAAAATTAAAAGTTGTTGAACAGAAGTCAATTTGCACCATTAACAACTGCATCCCAAGTGGAGGTTGGGTGCCTGAGACATATAGGAGCTTCTGCTATTGGCAAATGAACTGGAGACTACTCTCCCATGGCTGACAAATCCTGGCAACCCAACCATGAGCTCCAAACAGCAAAGGGGAACAGGCAACTGTCACAATGGATAAACAGGGGAAAGAGGGAGGGAAGAGGGTAGAAAAAACTGCCTGGAGGATGACCTGCCCCTCCAAACAACCCTAAAAGTTCACACTCAAAGCTTTTTCCTTGAAAAATGTAACTACATGGTCATGACAAATGCATCAGTCTTAGACAGACCAGGAGATTTCCCTGCCTTCAGACAGTTAAAAAAAAGCTCCACACTTCAGCTTAGATTTATTTGCCTAACCTCGACTTGTTCCAAATTTAACTGTAAATGCAGTAAAATTTGGCCTCTTCAAAAATACCCAGTAGCCCACATTCCATTTTTCGAATTAAAGTTCTTGTTTGATATTTATTGAGTGACCAAGTAATAGTTGCATTCAAAATCATAGCATTCTCACTTTTCAAACATATACTTCCAGCACTGCAAAGTGTTACCATAAAATGCAGCCTTAGGCTTATACAACTTTGTATGGGTTTTAGGAGGGCTTACAAACAAAGGGATATATATCTGAGGGGGCTTTTAACCATAATAGAAAAAGTACCATAATTTTTCAAATTTTTGGTTTGAAGTAGTAAAGAGTTCCTAATTTTCTCAAAGAGAGAAGGCTTAGAGGGAGCTTATATCTGGGGGGGGGGATACGCTTATTGGATGTATTTCTCTGTTTGTAGGTGGAGGACCTCTAAGTGAAGGGGCTTAGACATGTATTTGTGGGAGGCTTATAAGCCACAGTTTATGGTTAAAACACCACTACTTTGTCATTCAAAACAGCTAGGAAAATTTGAAGTTCTTGGATTTCCATTGATTACTGCATCACACACAAATTGTATTAGAGCTTTAACAACTTGTGTAAAAATCAAAACTAGACTGAGTAATTTTAGTGTGCAAATTATGCACATCGAAAATTACATACCAAAGGCATCTGGAGCATCTAGAGCACAGCCACTGTCTTTGTCTTTGACTTCACAAGTCCCACCCTCAGTAGCATCCTTCTCTTCATGATCTGTTCCATGCATGCCATTTATGGAAAAAGAAGAATCATTTTAATTACACATTATAAATTG